CTAATCAAGCAATTGATTTATTAGCATGTTAAAGTCATGGATTTGTTCTTACAGATAGTTCTCAATTTAGCAACTGGTCAAAGTTCGGACAGCCGCCTCTCCCCCAAATGTACTTACTACCCAGTTCTGAAATTCTGATGGTCATTCTCCTCCACAGTCATATGACTGCATTTTGGGTGCTTGGCAGTTGGCTTCAATTTACAACGTTTTTGCCAAAAAGTGGCCTTTACTTCCAGTTTTGCAAAAACATCCAATAGCGAACAAGGACTACTGTAAATCTGTTTACCCAAAATTAAATTTTATGTAGATAAATTACTTAATCCTCTCTGTGCGATACCACACTGATGCAAATTACTTTTTTCTGGTTGTAACAATTTTTCTAGGGCAGAACTACACTTCCTTACTGCTTCTTCATTATTTTTATATCTATGTCTATGTCATTGTATGCATTTTGCTTGTCACTTATTTTGTTTTCTTATTATAAGTGAACTGTCATTGTGTTATGGCATAAAAGTAAACATATTTAAGTAGAAGTATCTGTTATTTATATTTGGAATATGCAGTGCCTGAATATCAAATGTTGAATGTATGACCCTATTATTAGGTCTATAGAAGTGTAAACGGGAAGTGTGTCACTGTGACTGCCACTGGAACTTTTTAGAAACTGATAAAACTTGAATGTTGGCACGTTTTTGAATTTTGCAAGCGATGATGCTACTATTAAAGCCTCCTTAACTTTCTGATTTCCTGTGCTGTAAACAGTAGATTTAGAAAGGCTTGTGAAAGAACCATTCAGTAGTTAAGTAGGAATTACTTTTTTCCAAAGTGGTGTGAATATGTTTGTGTCTGATGAAATGAAATTTTTTTTTAAACAAATAAATAGTGAAATGTTAATAACTCTTACTAGTCTTGAGCTATTCTATTAAAGCCTTTCTTTCAATAATGGTATTTCTGACTTTTTTTTTTTAAAAAAAGATTAATTTGAACTGTAGTTGTTCAGGGGTGGATTTCCATCAGTACGCTGATGATACTCAGCTGTACATCTCCACCCCAGGCCACCCCAACGATGCCCTTGACGTGATGACCCGTTGCCTGGAGGCCGTAAGGGTCTGGATGGGGAGGAACAGACTCAGGCTCAACCCTTCCAAGACCGAGTGGCTGTGGCTGCCGGCGCCGCGGCATAGTCAGCTGACTCCAT